GCTCCGCCGCCTCTGCTCCGTTGCCGTGTTCCCAGCAGCCCGGGCTGCTGCCTGGCACAGCAGCGATGTTGGAGCCATTGGAGAGTGTGGAGGCGACGCTTGCAGCGCTGTTGGCCGATATGGGTGGCGCGCTGTGTTCGCTGCAGGCGGGAGCGGTGTTCGGCGCGGGGGCTTGTTCCGTGGATCCGGTGGGCCATTGCATCCGGCCACTGGACAAGCGGCTGGTGATGATGTGCACGCTGGGCTGCCAGTTCTCGTTTCACCTGCAGTGCTGGAAATCAGCTCGGGAGGTGCTCAAGGAGCGCTGGCCCAACTTCAACGGCTCCCTGGCTGCTGAAGGCCGCTATTGCTGCTTCGCGCCAGGCTGCCCGGGCTACATCCGGGAGCAGGCGATCTGTGACGGTGCACAGATGCAATCGTCCAGTCAGTCGCGGCTGTACCTCATGCCTCAGGAGGTATACGACACCCTGCCACAGCAAGCCAAGCCGATTGGCGGCGGTGTACCGCCGCAGCCCGGCGGCAGCGACGGCTACGGTGGCATCGGCAACGGGCAGCAGCACTCAGGCCCGCTGCAGCCACCGCTGCCTGCGGGCGGCGGCGGCTGCAGCGGTGGCGGCGGCGGCTTATCATCGCTGGCGGCTTTGGGGCCGTCGCTGACGCTGGCGCAGGCCATGGTCCAGGCGGCTACTGCAATGGGCAACATAGTGGGGGGATCTACCAGGCTGGGTGCTAGCCAGCTGGCGGCGCTGGTGGCGACGGGGTCCCTGCCGGCGCTGCTGGCGGGCAACGGTCCGCCGGTGCCTCAGGCTATGTCGGCACGCGAGGCGGCGGCCATTGCAGCGCAGACCCTAGGAGTAACCTTTGGAGGTAGCGGCGGTGCGGCCGGTTCCTCTTCGTCGTGCGTTGTAGAGGAGCTCGGGAGTGGGGACGACTTCGATGAGGAGCCGGATGGGGGGGCTACGGCGCCGCCGTCGACGTCAGCGTCGGGACGCAGCGGCAACGGAACACGGGGCAGCGTCGCTGCGATTGCCAACGGCGGCGGCAGCAGTGGTCCACGGAAGCAGGGTGTTGGTTGTGGCGGCGGCGGCGGGTCATCAGCCCGTCGCGGCACCAAGGCCGGCGGCAGCGGCGGCGGTAAGTCCTTGGGCAGCAAGTCTGCGGCGTCGTCACCCATAAGCAGCGCCGCCGCTGCGGAGATGCTGCAGCAGCTCCAGGGGCTGCAGCAAGCAGTGGCAGCAGTGCAGAGCGCCGTGGGTGCGGGAGTGCACTCGATGGGGCTGGGCATGGGCGGCGGCGCCTCCCCTGCTGGCGGCGCCGCCACCGATGGCGCCACCTGCCACACCGCTGGCGCTGCGGCACCCTCAGCCGCTGCAGGGAAGGGTCCCTGCCCACCTGGCCTGAGTGGGGGGGATCAGCAGCAAGGACAGCAGGGAGGCCAGAAGCAGCAGCAGCAACTCACCGTTCTGGAGCCGCCCCGGGAGGTGCTGTTGCCGCCTCGGGAGCTGCCGCCTGCTGGGCCCTCGAGCAGTAGTGGCGACGACGGCGACGGCTGCGGGGACCTAGGAGGCGGCGGCAGCGTGGATGTTCAGGAAGTAGCGCCCGTGCCGCCGCCGCGGCGGCGTAACCAGCCCATGCCGCCCATGTCGCGCCGGGCTTCGCAGCCGCTGACGGGAGTGCCGTATGAGCACGGCCGCCAGCTGCTGTCGCCGCAGCTGGCGACGCCCCCGCCGGCGACATCACTTCTTACCCCGGGCGTGCAGACCTTGTTGTCCGCCCCGGCGGCGGCCTCGAGCGCCGGATCGGCGGCGGTGCCGACACCACTGACGCCGCTGTGCCAGCGGAGTGCTACCCTCGCGCCCATCCTGGTGGGCCCGTTGCCGCCTTCTGTACCGCAGCAGCACGGGAGCTGCGTAGCTGCAGCAGCAGTGACACCCGCGGCGCTGATAGCGCCCACTAAGTCGTCTCCGGTTCCCACTGCCGCGGCGCATGGGGCCAGCGCTGGCCCGCGGCACGCTTCTGCCAACGGCTGCGCCACCGTAGCTGCCATGGCGGCTGGCTCCGATGACGTCGCCGGAAGCAGTTGCGGCGGCAGCGGGACCCGAAGCTCGCCAGTGCGCAGCGCTGGCGGTGCAGCGGGCGGGGGGACACAATCGGGTGCTACCACGGCAGCAGCAGTAGCAGCAGCAGCCGGCCCCGCCGTACCGCCCACCAAGCTGGAGCAGAAGCCGTCGCCTAGCTGCAATGGGCCCCCGACGTACGGCGCTCGTGTGAATCTGAGCGCTGCGAGCCTCAGCATTGGCTACCTGCGCAACAGCTCATCGGCGCCCTCTGTGGCCGCCGCGGCGTCAGGCCGCAGCGGCGCCGCCGCCAGTGGCAATGTCAGTGTCGGGCAGTCGCCCCCGGGGCTCACCATTACTCGTGCGTCGGGCGGCAAGTGCAGTGCGGCGGTTGCCCATGGGCCTTCATCCGCCCTGCACCAAGGCGTGGGGAGCTACGAGCCCGGCGGCTATGCGCGCGCCGTGTGTCCTAGCCTTCGACCTGGGGTACACCGGGTGACGTTAAGTGCGGACAGATCGGTGAGCTTGCAGCAGCAGCAGCCGCAGCAGCCGCAACCAGAACCGCAGGAACTGTCCGCAGCACCCGCGCAGGAAGGACCTAACGGGGCTGGGGCCGACGCTGAGGCTGAAGCATCGCCTTCCCGCATAGCCGGTGAGGTCACCAACGCCGCCTGCGCCGCAGCGGACAGTGGCCTATGTGGTATGGCAGCAAGCGAGAAGTCGGCCATTGGCGGAGCTGTGGGTCCCGTTGCAGCGGCTGCCGACGGCATTGCGATTGTAGTGGAGCTGGGGACGATCCAGGAGGCGAGGGAGGGAAAGCTCCAGGCCGGGGGAGACGAGGCAGGGGGAGCAACCGCGTTTCGTGAGCCGCAGCCTACCACCCTGCAGCCGCCGCCCGTCGGCGATACGGCGGAGGGCCTTGCAGCGGCCGCAAGCGAACAGGCCTTGGAGCTGGCGGCTGTTGCCGGTACTTCAGGGCTGCATGATCAGTCCCCGCCGGTGACGGAGTCAGCGGCACCGACGGCTGCTACTGCCGCCGGCCTTGCCGCCAGCTTGGAGTCTGATATTGTCCTGGCGGTGCTGCACAGTTTGCGCCAGGTTGCCGTCTCTTGCTCGGAAAGGCCGGCCGCAGCCACCCGCACCTTACCTGCCTCTGCAACAGCAGCAACTAGCGGAGCTGATCCTGCAAGGCCGCCGTCATCTCCGGAGCCGGCGGCGGCGACGGGCCGGCACCTGCTGCTGGAGAGCTGCGACGTTCCGCTGTTGGCGGGGACTCCAGGGATGCTGGAGGCCTGGCTGTCGGCCCACGTGGGCGCTCACGGGCGACTCGCGGCGTATCGCATCCTGGCGCCGCAGGGGGCAGTGGCATTGTCTCTGGAGTCGGAGTCCGCTGCCACGGCGGCGGCTAGCTCGCTGCGCAGGCGGTCGCAGATGCTGGTGGCCCCGCTGGCCGTAGCGCCGCTGGTCGAGTTCCCCGATGACGAGGTGCTAGCGGGGCGCGCTCTGCAGGTAGATCAGCGATTACTGTTAGGTGGCGGGAGCGGGACTGGGAGTGGGAGTGGGAGCCGCACTGTTTTGGGGTGTATGACGTGCGCACACGGGCAATAAAGGCGTGAGCTTGGACACGAACCCAGAGTGGAGTGAGGACCATTCCGCGTTTTCCTCTCATCCCGATTTGTTTTCCTCTTGAAAGATTCCTCTGCTGAGCTATTTGTGTTAACCACTAGGGACGGGAGTGGTGCTGTTGGGGGTTTGAAAGAGCATATACTTGGAGCACACGAATTGGAGCCCCCGACCCCGACCCCGACCCCGACCCCCCCCCCCGAGGTGGGCCGCCATCCTGTTTCCCTGTCCCTTCACTTCCTCACCCTCACTGCCTACCTGACCGACCGCGCTTGGCGCTCCCATTATTCCCTCAAGGGGATGTCTGATGCCCCCCACCCACCCACCCACCCACCCCCAGGTAGCCCGCGCCAGCTGCCCTCCGGGCGACCGCTCCTGGACGAGGCGCATGGTGGAGCTCTGGGAGCAGCTGCACACGTTGCCGCCGCCCGTAGTACGGGATTAGCGTGGGGTCTGACCTCCCGTACTAAATCGTAGTATTGGAGGCGGGATGAAAGGTTTGCGGACCAAGTCACCAGGTCACCAAGCGCTTGAAGGGTTCAATCCTATACCCGGCGGTGCCGCTGCTTTGTCAGGAGGCGGGTGGTACGGGGTGGCTTGACGCACCGAGATATGCGCCGGCAGCGGTTATTCGAAAACAATTGTTTTGTTGGGAGGCAGCCCACGTCCCCCTTAGGTTCAAGGGATGTAGTAGCTGGCTGGCGGACTGCTGCTGTCCATGTTGTTGCTCTTGGTTTAGCTGTTCATGCGCTCGAAACTCTATCCACAAATTGCAACACGAGGTGCCTCAGAAGTCGCCGCCTTATGGGCGTCTACACACGCGCTGTGTGCGCTTCGGTGTAACTGAAGACCTCTCTCTTTCTCTACACGGTGTCACTTAGGACGTTTGCCGGTTTTGGTACGTGTGGTGAAAACCGTGAGACGGTCGGGGTGGGATGAGGGACAGCGGAGGAGGAGAGGGAGTGCGGTGGCGCAGCGGCGGCCCCCCTGGCGCATGGAGAATGGTGAGGAGGTGAAGATAAGTACTCGGGCCTGGACTGGCAGTGAGGTGTAGCCAGGTGCGCAAAGGGCGTGTGCCGCCATTACCTGAACTAGTGGCCCCTTGTGGTGCACTCGGTGGTAACGTAGACGGTCCCTACACTTGGCCCTGTGCATCTAAGCAGTGGTCGGGTGGCTCGGTGAGTGGGTCGACACGCGGTCGTGGGGGGGAGCTGTCGGCGGCTGGTGTAGACCGCTGGCTGGTTGGTGCCCGGTGCTATAGACGTTTCTAAGTCCCTGCACCCGGCTGCAGCGGCATTATACGGCTGCAGTGCTGCCAGCTGGCAGTGCCTGCATACGACGACATCGACATGTGTGTTGTCGGTGGCGGTCAGGCATCCGTGGTGGTGGTGGTGGTGGTGGTGTCAAAGTGATAAGATGTGCGTTATGTGCTGGCAATCGGGAAGTGAGCTTGCGAGTGGGACGAGCAGTAGTACAGGAGCACAAGGCCCGTCAGGGTTGGGAGGGGCGCAGCGTTGGTGAATGGAATGAGGCCACTAGAATACAGAGGCGGAGGAGTACACCCGGTTACGCCCATCATGCCTGGCTGGCTGGGCGCAGAAACGTCGCGCATCAGGACCTACGGCAGGGATGAATACTTCAGAGGCGGGGAGCGAAAGGATGTGAGAAAAGGAGAGCAGCGAGGGAGCGGGGCCCCCACTGGTCCGCTGACGCAGCAAGAAACGCGGCGATTCGCCAGTGGCCGTGGTGATGGTTGTCGGTTCGTTGGGTGATAAAGGCGTGGTCGTTAAGTCTGCACATCGTAACTCCTGACTGTCCGTCTGTATGTCTGCGTGGCTCGCTGGCTGTAAAGCTTACGGTATGTACGGCGCTGATTCCCCCTGGAGGCTCCGCCTCCAGAGGACATTCTGCACGAGGAGGACCGCTCTCACGGTATGGTCCGCCTCTTGCTCCCGGTTTTAGCCGCCTCCACAGAGCCACAGTCAGGTGCTGCTTGGAGGCCCAGTCATGACCGGACCGTCGCAGTGGCGAGGAGGACGCACTTACACATTACAGTGCACATGAAGGCGGTGTGGTTACATCCAGGTTCGTATGAAGGAGCGGCACGGGCTCTGCCAGGTGCTCCTGTCCCTTCCATGGCCCCCTCCGCGTCCCAAAGGGGCCTCGTCTCCACAGGGCGCCCAGGTAGCACCCGGGCTGGGAACCGGGTATCATGGGGATTAGTAGTTGTATGTTCACGTCGCACGGAGCGATACACGGGACATGAAGGGAGGAAGTTGCCTACCGGTGTGAGAGGCCCCATGTGTTGTAGTGGTGAGTAGCGGTTAGTGGGAGCGGTTGCTGATGCGTTCAGGTAGATGCTGGAGAAGCCGCGGTGTATGCCTGCAGGGATTCTGTGGTTCCGGAGCCTGCGTCAAACAGCAGCGTCAAAGCGCACAAACGCGACATTCAAATCCAGGCAACCAGGCAATAATGCCGTATAGAGTATTGGAGGATAAGATGGTCGAGCAGTTACCGAGAGCTGCTGCGTTCCGGGTAGCCCCTGTGTGAGGTGGAGGAGGAAGAGGGGGAGATACGGCTGTGTGTCTCCCGGATAGAGTTGTTCCCCGCTGAAGTGTAATCAGGATGTACGACACGCCGTTAGATGAGTGAGAAGCCAGAGCGGATATACTAACGGGCCCGGGGAGGTAGATGTACTAGAGGCGTAGATCGGAAATCCTCGGACTGCAGCGCGCGCGCATTCTTAAAACTCAGGCGCGTGTTCCTGTGTGAACTGTGGGCTGCGTCAGCGCCGTTTGCCAGACTTGGAAAGGCAGGGGCGTGGGCGGTTTGTTGGGGCATCCGTCATGTGGGAGCATGCTGTCATTGTGGACTGCTGCTGCTGCGGGGCCCAGGTCCTGGGTCCGGGTGCTGCTCGGCGTGCTCGCTAGGTTGCCTGTGTTGCCGTGCCGCTGCCGCCCAATGGCCTCACAAGGGCAGGAAAGAGGGAGCGCAGCCGTGTTGTGTTTGCCTTAGCCGCGTGTGTTGTGTAGGGCACTAGAAAGGAGAGCAGCTGCAGAAAAGTAGAACCACAACAATGGCAACGCGACGGTGAATTCCTCAAGAGTTATTTTTAGGAGGAGGCTGCGTTTAAGTTCGGGTTTTTAGCACACAGCTTGGCGTGGTGTGACAGCGAGGGGCAGCGGTTCATTAATCGGCAACTGATGTGAGAAAAGAAGTGGGTCCCTTGTCGAAAGCAGCAAATTTGATTTCTTTTCGTCTTGTTTCGAAAAAACCTTTACAGCTTGTTAATTCTAAATAATTGGCGATTTTTTCTGTTTGTTTACGTGTTGACGTCCATAAGAAGGGTTTAGGAATTGTTGCCCATCGGGACGGAAGGGCCCGCCTGGGAACGGAGCAGGACGTGGGAAGGGAAGATGTAATACTGCCAGCCGACATGTTGCACATGCACGCAAGCTATACATCAGCTATGCTTCTGTGATTGCGATTTGCCTGCGGTTTCCTTGCCTGCACCCTCCACGCAAAGGTTGGAGACAGGTCGAAGGCGAGAACCGCCAAAATCCAGGGACTGATGGCCCGCTGATCCCTTTGCCTTTCTCTCTCGCACACTCTCTCCCTCTCTGTCTCTCACTCATTCCCCCTCTGAACGGCTTAACTACATAACCCGCAAGGAAGAGCCTTAAGCGTCTTCGTCGGAGTCGGACGCGAAAAATCTGCACTCGTGCATAATTGGTCCGCTGTCCGCATAGGAGTGCTGAACGCATTGGGACTAAGTGACAGAAAACACCGCGCGGCTCCAACACGGCTGCAGGCCGCGGCCTGCTTGTTGTGCGACCAACACCATGCACAAATGCAGCTAAGGGCTGCTGCTGTAGGTAGGGCAATTCGTGAATAGCATTCAGGCATTCGGTCAGTTCGCTTCACACAGTTCGCTCCGTGAACGGTCATGCAGGACGGCACGGCGAAAAGTGCACGTCGCCTTTTCCCCCACTCCCCTACATATTCTCAACGGCGCAGACCTAAACGTCCGGACTGCGGCTGCTGCTGCAGTGCTGATCCCAGGTGCGCCTGCTGCTGCGGCTGCTGTTGCTGTTGTTGCGGCTGCTGTTGGTTGTGGGCGCTGCTGGTACACGTAGGCTGCCCCCAGACCGCCAGGTCCTCCGGAGCCCGGCCGTCCCATAGGGCCCCCAAGTGCCATGCGCGGCGCGGCTCCGAGACCACCACCACCATTGCGGAGCGGTCCGCGTGCGGCTTGGTGGCCGGCGGCGGTGGCGGTGGCCGGATGCTGCTGCTGCTGCTGCGTATGGTGTGGCGGCGGGTGCTGCTGCTGCTGCTGCTGTTGTGGCGGTAGGTGGAGCTGGCCTGGGTCGTATGTGTTGTGTCTTTGAGCTGCCTGGTGGGCCGCAGCCGCCGAGCTCATCGGCAGGCCACCGCCGCCGACGGCGCCACCACCACCGGCTGTAGCAGCAGTGACCACAGACGTGGTGTTGCCTGGCGCTAGAGGCGGCGCCACCACCGCTGAGGGAGCCGGCGGTGTGATGCCGGCGGCGCGCAATGCCGCATGCGCCGCATCGCGTTCCCGCCGCACCGCGTCGGCTTCAGCCCGAAGTCTCATCAGCCTTGCCTTCCACGCCGCCTCGCTACTGCCGCCACCGGCCGCCGCGGCCGCCGCGCTCTCTGCCTGCTGTGCCTGTCCGCGCATGATAGCACAAACCCGCCCGAGGCCCACCCGTCAGCCCGGCCGGCACCAAAGGATCAGAGACAGACCCAGGAATCAAACGAGCAACTCAACTCAACTCAATTCTGGACGGAAGCATCCGTTGGGGGCTTGTAAATCAGCTTAGTCTCCTATCAGAACTCATGAACCAAGCCGCATTACTTAACACAACGCTAGAGGGGAGGGTAGCGCAAATTACGAAAGCAATGAAAAGGGCGTCATAATGCCCACATCCCAGCCCGGTTCCCCTTCCGCACACCTCTCGTTTCACACCGCACCAGCTCCGGAACCACCTTTCCAGCTACCCACCTTGAGCGACGCACGCTCCCGTGACCAGCGCTCCTCCGCGGCCGCCTTATCCGCCAGTAGCTGGTTCTTGAAGTCCTCCAGGAGGCCCAGTCGCCCGCCGTCTGCGGGGCAGGCGATGAGGGGACGCATGCACTTACAGATGTACATACATACATGCACACATACATAAGTATCATACAGCAAGCTGTTTTTGACATCAATGCACACACATGTCACGAATTCGAGGATTGCGCGTGCTGGTGAGTCGAGGGACCGGATTGATTGGATGGGAGAGACCCACGGGTCACAAGCACGCAAGCCAGCCAAGTGGGTTGAGTGGACACCACGCGCCCCGACGGACAGCGCAGGACCGTTACTTTTAGTGATGAGGGCTTCCGATATATATTTTATTGCACTGGAGAAGATATTGTACTGCATGTATGTCACTACGTCGGGCTCTCCGCAAACCCGAACACATGCCATGCGCCGTACTTCCGTACAGACGTACAGCTCTCATGCAGGGCCGCCACCTCCGCCGCGGCTGCCGCCGTACGCTCCTTCAGCTGAGTCATTAGGTCATCAACCTGGGTCACGCGTCCCGCGCGTTCCGCAGCCAGCTCAGATTCAAGATCCGTTGTCGTACGGCGTGCGGTGTCTAGTTGGTTTCGGAGCGCCTCAACCTCCTCATGATGTGCCTGTGCGGCAGGGTCCCATGTAAGAGGTACCATTTCATATAACGTGGCTGGGTGCTGCGTCGTTCACTCTTTCGTTCAAAGCCGTGAAAAGCGCTGCCAGCGGCACTGGCAGGTTCTCTAGGCAGTGGCGTCCAGGCGTGCCAGAGAGGGCGATAACATCTCGTACTTTGCGGATGAAGTGTGACCATTTCCGAAGATGCAGTGGACGTCGGAGCGCCCCAATAATTCTATAGTAATTCTGTAGTAGGGCGTCCTAGCAGCGCAAAGACAAAGGGATAGGCCAAGTTTGCCAAGTAACCAGGGCGGTGCGCGCAGACTCCCTTACGAACCACGGGTGGCCGCTCGGCGCACGGGGCTCACCGTCACCGGCTTTCGAAGGCGCACCTGCTGCGATTCTAGATGCGCCTGCTGCAGCGCCGTCAGTTCCAAAAGGGTCTTCTGGTAAGAGACGGCGGCGGTCACCTGGCCGTTTGAATGGATGGATGGCGTATTCCGTTTGTGTTACAGAAGTTACTATGAACTGGCGTGCGCAGAGAGTTGCATAGCCGTTGCACAGGTTTTGAAAAGTCGTTTTCCTGCACGAAGAACAACGTCTGGGCTAGCTACCGGATCTGCGGTCAATGTCTGCTCGAGCAGGTTATCAAGGCTGCCTGCTGGAAGGGAGCTGTCCGGGAGTGAGAGGGTCTTCCGCAGCTGGCTCATCATTAGGAACTTAAGAGAGTAAAGCTTGGATCTCCGGGTTAAAGCGCGTTCTGTCGCACCTCGTTCTGCTGTGCTTTGCGGCGCTGGGCCACTGCATCCAGAAGCTTCGCGGCGTGCTGGGCCTCGTGGTCAAGTCGCAGCTGCAGATTCTTACATTTGTCCTGCTCCGCGAGGAAGGCGTGTTGCCACTGGTCACGTTCCTGCCGGTCGCGCAAGCATGCTTCTTGCAGCGCGCGGATGTCGTCCATTTCTTTTGTCTACTGGCGTCTTGGGAACCTAAGAGCAACCCTTGACCAGCAAACAATGCTTTGATGCTCGTTGGCTTGAGGAGTCGAACATGGTAATCGAACATGGGATTTACGCTGGAGTGGACCGAGTATAGCGCGATAAGCGAGAGCCTATGTCGTTTCCGCCAAAACGAATGCAATCGTACGTTACCCGTCCCCACGAGGCTCCAGCAGCACATAGTATCCGTTGCCGAAAGTGCCATATACTACACAGGGCAAGGCATGGAGGTTTGCGCATGACTGCCTGCTGGTGTGGCCATGCATGCGTCGATTTCACTGGAGCACTGCACGTGTGAGAAATGCTTCATACGCGCTAACCACCCCCGACGCCTGCAGGGGTATCGCCGAATCATCATTGTGAGCGACAAGTCATTCCGTCGCCCACAGGGGAAATCCTTCATGTCGAAACAGGATGTGGAAGTACTCTGCGCGTTCGCGCCAGTACGACATATATCGCCATGCGTCTCTAAAGTGTTTGAACCTGACAATGTAGCTGTACAATGTTTTGTTTTTTTTATAAATTAAACAACCATTCATTAACGCTATACTAAAAGCTCTCTGCTGCCATTCACTCTCCGAGCCTCGGGTAGGTTAGAAGTTGGAAGCTTGCCTACGTGCTCGTCTTATCTGTCATGCGTTGAGCACCTATCCTAATATCAACTTCCTGCATAATTTGCAAAATAATAATAAAAGCAGTCCACCAACATTTATCGGTAGCGAAAATGCATCGCGCAGTCGTGCCCAGCGCAAGCACAGCTTTGGGCAGCTCACAGCGGATCTTTGCATCACATGGCAGAAAAGTTTGCTTCCAGGGAACTAGGAGGCCAGTAGCTCCTTGGCGTGCTTCAAGCAGCCCTAACCCATCAGGTCCCGACGATGAGCCTCCCAAGACACCGCCGAATGCTCTAGAGGCCACCATCCGGTAGGGCCCCAAACCACGCCATGGATTACGGCTCCCGATGGCTACATCAATCCAAACAAAAAGATGCCCTGGCTCTGCACGCTGGGCATGGACGCTTGCTGTCACCTGCTGTCACTGTGGACCCGCACACGCCCTCCTTTACGTCGCAAAGTAAACCGCATTTCCGCAAACCTCTGTCTCGACGCTGCCCGCCCTTCAGCCTCTCCTCTTTCAGTGTCCATTCAGACAGCCGTCCGCCTCCCGGCGCATGTTCCAGGGCTGAACAATGCTCGCACACAACCTCACGTTCCTTCTCCCGCCCCTCTCCTCTTCTCTCCGGCCCTCTCCTCCCCTTTTAACGCCTCTCTCCTTTCCTACCCTTCACCGCCCACCTTCCCTTACCCTGTGCCTCTCCCGCCGCCCCTCCCCGCCCCTCCCACCTCTCCCCGCTGTTTAGCCGCAAGCAGCGCGAGCTGGAGGCCGCCATTCGGGAGCTGGGTATGGAGGCTCTGGACGAGCGGCTGCAGTCCGCCACCCAGGTGCCCGCCACGCCCCCCTACCGCCTGTCCAGACTCATCGCGGAGCACGTCCCGCAGGTGGTGTGGGTGGCGGGAGG